AAAATAAATAGTTTATTGAAATAGAAAAAGTATGATGTTTTATGATTAATACTATCATGTATATACCTTACATTTTATAAATATATATATAAAATTGTATTTTGTTTTTATGTTTTAAATTACCTAATTTAAAATATTAATTAATTAATTTTTTAAAAATAATTTTGGAACACACTGAAAGTTTTAAAAATATTTTCACCACAATGAAAAAGTGGCCATTATAATATTTCTTCATATGAAGAAATGTTATAAATTAAAACATATGATTTTTTAAAAACAAATTTTTAATATTTATTAAAATATTTCTTTACTTATAAGGAAACAATGACCGTCAATTGATTTTGCCACGAGAGAGTATTAAAAACATAAATGCTAAAAAACTTTGTGGGAGTTATGCGCTGTACCATTGTAATATTTCTATTTCTATTAACTATATCAGGGTATTAATGGGGATTTTAGGTAGTTCATAAATGACTTTTTCCAAATTAGGAGAACCCTATTTCAAACCTTTAAAATATTTTAAAATAGTATCACGTTCATTTTTCCTATATGTAGATAACTATCAAAATTAAATTTTATAAATTTTATAGATTTTTTCACATTGGTTTTGTTCAATAACATTTGAATTCGATATTATATCTATTATAACATAAAGTTTCATATAATTTTGTCATTTTTACAATGTCAATTGTACTAAAATGTTAACAAAAATATCTCAATGGGAGGGGAACTATATCCCTAATCACCACTTATTTGACACCCACTAAATACGGGGTATTGTGTTGCGCAATGGTAACACTAGTTGTTGACAAAACTAGTGTTAAGCTATACCTACTGCTGTAGGTGAATGGATAGGTGACATTACGTGAGCTTTTGTGATGGCAAAAAAAACATGTTCCTAGTGCAGAAGGCAACGGAAAACCACAGCACTTAAAAATTTTCCAGGATATACCAATCCAATTGGTATCAACCAACCTAACAGTTGTAAAATATATATATATACAAATACATATTATAATATATTATTATTATTTTATAAAATTAATATTTTGTTAAAACTCTATTATACATGATATTTATTCACTAGATATTTTAATACATTTTTCAGTTTGTATCATTTTTTTGTATTATATTTATTATAGATAATCATCAAAATTTACTATATAAACTGATTCAACAATACATTTTAACTTACTGAGAAATTTCAAAGCTTGGTCCAAAGCAATAAGTTCCAGGTCTAAATATTCCAGCTGCTCCATCACTAAGAGTTTCACTGTTAAATTTATCAGCTATGATTGTTATTTTGATATTAGGATAAACTCTTTGAAGTTCCAAAGCTGTGTTAATTCCTACAATGCCAGCACCAACAACAACAATTTTGTTATAGACCATTTTCAGATTTTCCTAAGTATTATTACAATTATAAAATCCTCAATAGACTTGTACAGAGATCGAACTATTGCCTAGATAGTACTCAATAACAATCTAAGAATAGGATCTGAAAATTTTTAAAGTATAAAATAATTCTTTATCATATCATCATAAAATAGTAGTTTCTAATTAAGAAAATGAAAGTTTAAATTTTTTAACTCTCAAGGGATGAAAAGAAGTTATTTAACCACATATTATTAAAGTTTTTAAATCAAACAATACTTTTCTTTACAAATGTTGTAAATATTCAACAATTACTGAGATATGAGTGTCTTATCCTTAATTGATGATTCTGTATGACAATATATATTTATGGTATTTACTATAAAAATATTTCATAGAACAGCCATAAAAATTATATGTTAAAGGATCATGGCTATAATGAGAACTTTGGTTAATGATAAATAACACAATATGTTTTCTAGATCAGTATTTTTTTCTTAAAAATGTAATCATTTTTTGTAACTATTTAAGTATAGTTTATTGAGTTGTACATTGTGGTAAATTAATCATTTGAATAATATTAGTTTCCAATTTTTATAAATAATAGACATATTGTATTATTAAATTTTTCATTTTATTTTTAAATATTTCGTTAAATTAATATTATGAGTTATATAAAATTAAATTGATTAAAATCATTGACTAAGAACTAAAGTGCAAATATGAAATTAAGGAACCTATATCTAATAAATTATTTAAAAACAAGTAAATATTTCACTTTTATATTTTAACTTTTATATTGAATATTTATTTAATTATTGTAGTTTAAATAGTTACAATACGCTATTCATTAAATTAGAAACTGTACTCGCCAGTATTTAAAGAAACAATTTATTTTCAAGTAACGCTTGAAAATTATTATTCAATGATTTTTGAATTTAAACCTTACAAAATTTACGTGTACCTTTGATATTAAATAAATATGTCTCTTTAATTTTAAAAAACACGTTTAGGTAGGTAAGAAAATAATTTTTGCCAGCATATTTAATAAATTTACAAAATACAATGATACTTACAGGGTATTTCCAACACTACTACCACTAATCATCATATAAATATTTATATGGTGATCAAGATACTTAAGGAATTACACAAATACTTTAAATATACACATAATTAGCCTGTTTGTTGTGTTGAATTATTGGGAAATAAACTGGAATTATTATTTTATAACTATTTAGAAAAAATTAATCACATTTTACTATCTATTAATTCTTAGCTATTCTAATTAGTTTAATTTATATTAGTTAGATATTTATTGATGTTTACAAGTTGAAAAAATCATACTTCTAATAAAAAAATTAAAATAGTACAAATATTTCTGATTATACCTTAAGTGTACGTTTTAATAATTAGACAATGTATAAGTTGTACTAAGTATGCCAATTATAAATTGTTAGCTTCAAAAATTAACAACGCATTTTATTAAAATCACTTTGATGCAGTGCAATTCAAATGGTAGGAGGTTTAGCTACACTATACTTGCCCCTCCTTGATTTTCATAGTGAACTACTTGAGTTTTAATGAACATTTGACGTCTACTAATAAAACA